AGACTAGAAGCATAGATATGCCTCTAGGATTCTCCCAACCTTTATGAGTTTTAGTGTGCACTTATGAGCCACATTATGGGTGGTATTAAGGGAGTGCATTATGGGAGGACTTAATGGGTGTAGAAATGGGGAGAAGACCATTATGAGGAGCATTGATGCATTGTATGTGGAGAGTCATATATAATGAGTCATCTCCCTCATTTGTACTCATCCCATAATTTTTTAGAGCAATACACTTAGTGAGTTCTCTCATTCCTTTGTCTTTCTTGTCTTTCTTTGCTTGCTTGTGAGTTTGAGAGAAGGTTAGCATCTCTAACGGATTTGAGAGCTAGGACCGCACGACCAAGAGTAAGGTCGTGACAGTACCCGAAACCCATGGGAAAGTGGATGGGTTTGCAAAACCTTCCCCCACATAGATATGAGGAGGGTACGAGTTTGAATATTTGAAAGCGAGGATGAGGATGGTTTAGGTAAACCCGTCCCATAGTCATCCCTAGTGACGGTTTTTCCACATACATGTTACCTCAGGATTCTCTTCCTCAACCGTTCTCCCGTCATATCACATCCTATCGAATCCAACAAATTTCCCTCCCTGAATTATAAGTTTGCACTTGAACATGATCTGGAAACTGGGTCTCTTATTGGTGAACTAAAACTTAAGGTATCTGAAAATTCAAGGAAATGCTCGAATTTCCGTGGAAGAAAACATTGGTGATTATGTTTTTGAGGATATCAGTCTCGTGTGCCTATTTGTGCTCTCAAAACTATATCTACAAAACTATTTAATAGTTGTAATTAGAGAAGGAGAGATCTAATATTCCATATCATAAAGAGAAAGGGAGGGAAATAATGAATTTTGGGGGACAATTAACGAATTTTTAAGGACTGACGTAAATTTCTAGACGTGTTGTTAAAATATTTTTCTATTTCTTGGAAAAACTTCAATGGACCATATCTATTTTTTATTTATATATAAGAGTGACATAGATTGTTTATTTTATTATCATATGTTATCTTAAGTGATATGAACTTGAGACCTCAGATTGATGACTAGTGGTAATAACACTATACTAAACTCTTGTCTACTTCAATGGACCATATCTCAGACCTCAAATTGATGACTAGTGGTAATAACACTATACTAAACTCTTGTCTACTTCAATGGACCATATCTCATTCATTTTACATCGGATTTCAAAAACTTTGTGTAGAAAATTCAGATTTTTTGTGCTTTACAAGATTATATCCATTTTGATATTTTTTAGCAAATTATTTTTTACTTCATTTTTAAGTCTTAACATAGTGGCACGAGGGTGATGTCAGTCTTACCATAGTGGTAAGATCATGTTATAACAGTGATAAGATGATATTATGAAGTCTTAACATAGTGGTATGATGTTGGTATGCCAATGATAAAAACAATATAAATTTTATCTCTGAGCTAAATTTTTTGTTGTTATCATATCATTGTCATATTATCATATCATGTAATATTTAAGATAAGTAAGATAATGATATGATAGTGATAAGATAAGATAAAAACATGGACTTATTTTAGAAGTAAATGTTTTGCTCAAAATATAGAAAAATGAATATCATTTTGTAGATCATAATTAATAAATTCTTTCTGTGTAATTTTTTAAAATTTAAGTTAAAACAAAAGAGATATGTCATCATATCACTGTTATATAATAATGACATGAAAATGATAATTTACAATAATCACGTGTTTTGAAGGGTTATTTTTCGCTCAAAATATAGCGAAATGTTTATCATTTTGAAGATTATAATTAATGTGATTTTTTACTCCCTCAATTATTTTAAATAACTCATATCTTCTTCATTTGAACTTGAATTTTAATTTTTTGGTATATAAAAAATCATTTAACGATATCATGAAAATGATACCCATTTTTATATTTTTGAAAAAAATACAGGACATCAATAACGTACTCATACAAAAGTGATTTCTCGTGTACCACATGGTACATCAACCAGTTGCGTTTATTAATTATGGTCCGGTTAATTTGAATAATTTGTTTAAGTGAATTGATCTTGTGATATTATACTATACTAAATAGACTAACCAATGGGCCAAAAAAAAATTATAACAAAGGGGCATTGGAGGAAATGTTGAGTCTTCCTTTTGGCATTGAGTATGAAGTAACAATGAACCAGGTAAATTGTGATGAAAATGCTAATAATGTTAAATTTTTTATGGGGGTTTGGTCTAATATTGTCATTTGGGGAAAAATGAATATTGAGAACTCTCTAATTCACTAATATTTACAAGAGGGTTGTCATTTTAAAAATCAATACTGAATAATTTGTGACATTTTTTAATCTTTTTTTTTATATATATTACCTTGATGACTATCACTTATCAATACTGAATATTTTTGTTTGTGCTAATGGCTGGGACCTTAAACAAGCATATACTTTACCCATATTTTATAAAAAGAAGCACATTATTAGCGGGATTTATTCGAGCGTTTATGTTAGTGGCACTCAACAACCGCACAGCAACATTGCAAATTTGCAATTGCTAATCCATCGATACAAAAGGCAGCAATTTAACCACAAAATATTGTAGAAAAGGTGGAAGGGGAAGGGGCCACTTAATTATCAACCAAACCCACAACCCACATATTTATAATCTTCATTATCATGATGATTCATGAACTAACTTAAAGTAAAGCCATAATATTATGCCAAAGCAAGTTAAAGAAAGATTACCAAATGCAAAGTTGTGTGAGTGGCCCATATCTTTCTATTTTAAAGCAAAAGCCAAGAGTTAAAGCTGTTAAAGCAATATCTCTCGAGCCAGTTCAGTATTGTGATTTGTGTGCATAAGAAGTTACACAAGACATTTTAGTGGTAGGGCATTTTGTATTAAAAATATAGTTAAATCATAATTCACTCATTTATACCGCTAAAACAACTTATTGATTTGGGATTTGGTACTTGATATTCTGATCGCCCGGTTCGATACGGTTTCTAAATTGGATCATGTCCGCCCACTTCTTGCTCCTTGCAATCCAATTTAGGATCCCAACCCCTTCCACCCGACCCAATAGTCTGGCAGCCCCTCCTCCCAAGCCTGACCAACTGGAGTTGAATGGTCTAACGGTCGGGGCCTATAGTGGCCCGCTACTCGGTCCCAAACCACCTCCTTGCAAAGTCTCCATCATTGGCCCAAAAGGCCATTCCGCCCATGATCAAACCAAGCTCAGACAACCCTTGTGGATTTAGACCTCCTCAGCTCACCAACGGGCTCGACCCACTCGACCGATGCACTCTGAAAGTTGACAGGGCCTCCGACCTCGCCAGCAAACCTCGACAGAAAATATCATCAAATCCATCATAATTAATCATCAAATTTATCATGCAAACAATAGATTCTTCAAATCCATGATGGTACAAATCCCTCATAAATTCAAAGATTTTTTTGAGCCAAAACCCTCATTTTTCAAATCCAACAAGCAAATGTCCCCTTAAGGGTGTTCGCACCCTATTCACTTATTTTATCCAATTAGTAACGGACACGTGGCTTATTTACCTCCTAATAGAATAAAATCGACCCGAATCACTCACGTGAGTAAAACCGGCGGTTAAGGCCCCCATTCGAACTGAAATATGGCTGGTTGACTCGGACTGCTACTGTCTTACTGCTGGAATCCCTGACTTCTTCATAAAAAAAAAAAAAGGAAAAGAAAGCCAGATTACCGCTCGCGTGTCGCGTTTGACAATCAACCACAGTTGGAAAACTAAAAAAAAAAAAATTCACCCGACCGGCCCCACATCTCCTCTTTCTGTCAATAGTACTCAGCTTGCTTCATCACTATTGTATTCACTGCCCGCCTCCGTAGTCCTCCTCCTTCTCCCCCACACAAAATCGGAAAAAATCCCAAGTTACACATGTTTTTAAAAAAATTCTCAAAATACACAAGTTATGAAAATAATTCTCAATCTACGTTAGTTTGGGCCATCACCGCTGTCGACGAAGACAGTGATTGCATCACCGCTATCGACGAAGACAGTGATTGCATCACTGCAGTACACGGCCGCGGTGAAGGCCTGACCTGCGTCGAAACTTTAAACAAACGTAACTTTGTGCTCGGTTATCCGATCGTAGAGAAATTTTTTTTGATTCCGCATAATTTTTCGAGATCTTGCAAGCCTCAAATTTCCGTAGGCGGTTTGGTCCCGCCTTCGTCTCGAAAATATGTCGTTTGCTACTTCGAACGAGCCTTTTTTCGATTTCGTCAAACTTTGAACGACCATAACTTTGTGCTCCACAATCCGAAAATCATGAATTTTTTTTTTGATTTCGCATAAATTTTTAAGGACTACAATATTTAGTAGGAGAGAATTTTCAAAAAATGAATTATTTATGGATATAAGGGATTTTGGGAATAACTTTACCTTCCTTTTCAGGAATCCAAGTACATTCCGAAAATATGTCTATGATAAAAATTGTAGTCCATAAAAAGTTATGCGAAATAAAAAAAAATCATGATTTTCGGATTGTGGAGCACAAAGTTATGGTCGTTCAAAGTTTGACGAAATCGAAAAAAGGCTCGTTCGAAGTAGCAAACGACATATTTTCGAGACGAAGGCGGGACCAAACCGCCTACGGAAATTTGAGGCTTGCAAGATCTCGAAAAATTATGCGGAATCAAAAAAAATTTCTCTACGATCGGATAACCGAGCACAAAGTTACGTTTGTTTAAAGTTTCGACGCAGGTCAGGCCTTCACCGCGGCCGTGTACTGCAGTGATGCAATCACTGTCTTCGTCGACAGCGGTGATGCAATCACTGTCTTCGTCGACAGCGATGATGCAATCACTGTCTTCGTCGACAGCGATGATGGTCCAAACTAACGTAGATTGGGAATTATTTTCATAACGTTTGTATTTTGAGAATTTCGTTTAAAAACATGTGTAACTTGAAATTTTTTCCCACAAAATCCGCGCATTCTTCCGCCTTCCCTTCCACCTCCACCCTTTCCCCTTTCTCCACAGTTTCCATTTCTTTTTTTTTTTTTTCCCTTTCCCCGTTTACTCTCCAGCCACTGACGCTCACTCCATCACTCTCTTAGCTGTGTTTTTAATCGTCCCTTCTCTCTCTCTCTCTCTCTCGCTCTGACTTCCCCTGGTTCCCGCGCCTTTAATTTGTCGGCAGGACTCTACCGGCACCATTCCGCATTCGTCTCTTCTCTCTCTCACTCCCCCAACTCCCTTCCATTCCGCATGTTACGCCGCTCTACCTCCTCGCTCTTTCAGGTGATCAACGCAACTTCATGCATTACCTGATTCGCTTCACCGGAGTTCCCCCGGCCGGAACCGAATCCCGCCTCGCTACCGGAGCTTGCTTTTTCCCTTCCCCTGTTTGTTTGTTTGTTCGTTCTTGCTGTGTCGTTTTCTGCTTTCTTACTGCTTTGCTTTCTTTTGTTTCTATTGCGGCAGATGCGGCGTGCGTGAGAAGCAAAACTTGCGGGGCCATGGAGAGTCAAAGCAAAGGCTGGTTGTGGCGGAAGAAATCCGGCGAGAAACCGAGCGCTGCTGCTGCTGAAAAGTCGGGCCTCCCTCTCAGACCGGACGACGATGAGGTAGAACACAAAATTTCCGTTTCCGTTCCCCCTTTCTGCTTCCATTATGACAGATGCATGATCGTGGCTGCAGAGTGCCGAATGTCTGTTTTCTGAAGATTTTTTGGGGAAATTGGATGATGATACAAGCTTTCTTCGGCCATTAATGGTGGTTATTTCGTTCGGTTCGTTAATTTCTCTTCCGCTTTCAGATACAGAACCTTTTGACGGAAAAGGAGGAGTTGGAGTACAACATCAGAATTTTGAACGAGAAGCTCGATTCCGCTCTCTTGGACTCCAATGCTAAACATAGTCTTGCCACAGATCATGCCAAAACAGCAAACGAAGCCATGGAAGGTGATTTCTCTCTCTCTCTCTCTCTCTCTCTCTCTTCCCCTGTTTTAGTACAGTTCACGGAGCTTCTCTAATCTCTCTACTGTTTTTGTGTATTGTGCAAGGCCGGGAGAGGGCAGAAGCAAGAGGAAAGTCTCTGAAGCAAGAACTGGACGAGGCTTTACAGGAGAGAGCAGCTGGAGAGGACAGATCCGCGCAGCTGGATGCCGCTCTAAAGGAGTGTATGCAACAGCTCCGCTTTGTGAGAGAAGAGCAGGAGAGAAGGATTCACGATGCAGTGACCAAAGCTTCCATGGAGTTTGACGAGTCTCGAGTGATCCTCGAAGAAAAACTGGCCGAGACGGGCAAAAGGCTAGCTAAGCTCGGGGTCGAGAATACTCAGCTCAGCAAAGCTCTATTGGCGAAGGAGAAGACGATCGAAGAGCTGAATAAGCAGAAGGCTCAGCTGGAATCCGACTTGAAAGATCTAAGCGTCAGCTTGGAGTTCACGGAGAAGGACAACGGTTCTCTCAAGTATGAGGTTAGGGTTTTGGAGAAGGAGCTGGAGATTCGGAATGAGGAGAGGGAATTCAGCAGAAGGACGGCTGATGCGTCGCACAAGCAACATCTGGAGAGCGTGAAGAAGATTGCAAAGTTGGAAGCGGAATGCCAGAGGCTGCGCCTCCTTGTCCGGAAGAGACTGCCGGGCCCGGCTTCCATGGCGAAAATGAGGAGCGAGGCGGAAATCCTGGGGAGGGATTCAGTTGAATCGAGGAGGAGAAGGTCAGTTACTGGTTCTGGTTTGATAATGGATGATTATGCTGATGAAAGGTCTGCCACCAAAGCCATTAACAATTTGACTGAGCAGTTGAGTGCTGTGGAAGAACAGAACAAGGCTCTCGTCGAAGCACTCGGTAAAAAGGAGAGCGAGCTGCAATCTTCTAGAGCTATGTTTGCTCGTGCAGCTTCCAGATTATCACCACCGGTTGACTCGCGCATTTATGAATCGCCCAAGTGGCGAACATCCTTGGAGCTCTCAAAGCTGGGTCTTGTGCCCCATGATATCTCACTAAGCTCGGTGTCTGAAGCTGGTAGTGATGATAAGGTTAGCTCTGCTGAATCTTGGCCTTGTGCCTTGACTTCAGAACCGGAAAACTCCAAGCATGGTAAAAAGAATGGCTCATTGTCCAGAAAAAGTATTGGTGCTCCGGACATGGATCTGATGGATGATTTTGCTGAAATGGAAAGACTTGCAATCGTCTCAGTGGATAAGCAGCAGTCTGGAAGTCCTCAACTTTCTTCTAGCAATAGCAGTGCAGTGATTAGCCCCTTCAAACCCGATCTTATAGAAAGGGTAACTGGTATGGAGATTGTTCCAGTATTGGATTCTGGTTTAAGGCAATCCAGTGATACTACAAGTGCGAAAGCTCCTGGTTGGCTTCAGGAAATTCTTAAACTGGTGCGGGAGCAAAACCGAGTCACTAAGAGAAAGCCTGATGAAATTCTGGAGGAGATAAGAGTAGCTTTGGCAAATGTAGAGACTATAAGTCCCACTAAAGATGCTGATGGTACTCCAGTGAACTCTTCCACTCCCATTAGTGGATATCTCTTATGGAAATCCAAAGATAAAACTGATATCACTGACTTTAATGGTGCAGCAAATGACATGGATGCCCCTCATTCTGATCTGGGGAAGTCTGTGTCAAAGATATTAGAGCTGGTAGAAGGTATTGCTAGACAGAATCCAGGCTACACCAATAACTCCGAGTCCGTGTCAAGCAAGGATTCTAGTTCTTTTCCTTATAAGACTACAGATATGACAATGGGTTACACGGTCCGTGTTTTCCAGTGGAAAACCTCTGAGCTGAGTGCTGTATTGCAGCAATTTATTCATGTATGCTATGATCTGCTGAGCGACAAATGTAACATGACCAAGTTTGCTCAGGAACTCCTGTCTGCTCTCGACTGGATCATAAACCATTGCTTCTCACTTCAAGATGTGTCGAGCATGAAGGAAGCAATAAAAAAGCATCTTGATTGGGATTCGAAAAGCGAAGGTGATCACGGAGAGGTTGGCATTATCAGCAATGAGAAGGATGAAGGCAAGAAGTTCAACTCAGGCTTGGCTGATATGATATCTGCCAAGGAGGCCTTGGAAGAAAGACTGAAGTCAGCGACTGAGAAGAGTGAATCTTTGACGCTTCAAGTTCAGGAATCAGAGAAAACCAGTGCAAGCTTGCAATCGGAGCTGGATAATGTGGGAGGATCGAGGGGATCTATTGAGAATCAAATTGAGGCTCATAGGGTGATGAAAGAAGATCTTGATACTCAACTAGTGATGGCCAAGGCAGAACTAAGTGAGGCTCGCCGAAAACTTTCTTCCTTGGAAGTGGAACTGGATAACAGAAATAGCTGCTGCGAGGATTTGGAGGCCACTTGTGTTGACTTGCAACTCCAACTTGAAAGGTGCAGTAGCTATCCTGAATATCACTCGAAGATATATTTTTCTGGGTTTCATTCTCATCGGTGGAGCTTATTAGTAAGTGCATCTATTTCTAATAGTTCTCACATGTTTTTGTGTTTTCCCTTCTTAGTGTGACAGAGAACACGACCCCTAAAACTGAAGTCCATCCTGAAGATCAGCTTCGAACTGTAAGTTCATTCCGTAATCCAAGTTGAGATATTTTTTGCTCTGCAGATAAATCCATCTAAGAGGCACATTGGTTATAGAAATCAGAAAGTGTAACTAATTTGAGAAACTTTGATCCTCTTCACTGATTTAATTTTCCTCTTCACTGATCGATCATGCAGAATTGGGAGATAGCAGCAGCTTCAGAAAAATTGGCAGAGTGCCAAGAGACCATCCTGAACCTGGGGAAGCAGCTGAAGGCATTAGCTTCACCAAACGACGCTGCTATAATCGACAAGGTCGTCTCTAAGCCAGACGAAGTAAATACAACCCCCGACACTGCCACTGGTGCCACACCCAGGGCAACGTTGACGAATCAGAGGTCGTCACTCTTAGACCGGATGCTAGCAGAGGACAGTGTTAAAGCCACAGCTAATGCAGCAGCCGAACCCTTAGAAAAGATCCTCAATTTAAACAAAAGCAAGCACCATAACGACGATGATGGTGTCACAGTTAACAGCCTGGCCATTGTGCCTAGCCGGAAACATGGAATCGGAGGGCTGTGGAGGAAGTTGCTAAGGAAGAAGAAAAAATCTGCCGCTGGGCAGAAACCACCCATTGCATTTCCCAAGTGATTTCTCTACCCCTTGGAAAAGATGGAGTTGCCTTTATTTTCTTCTTTGGCTTGTTTCGCCTGAGCTTTGTGCATTGCTTCTGTAGATATACGAACATTGAAGCCCAGCTTGTTGGGTCCTTTTCTTGTATTGGCGCGTCTGAATGTGAGAAAATAAGGAAAAGCTGCCTGGAAAGTAGTTTCCAAAGACCTTGCAGAAGGGAACATATCCAGTTGTAATTGAACTCTGCATTGTGTATTATCGAAAACGAAAAAGAGTTCGCAGTGTGTAATCTTAACATGAAGAGAGAAGAAAATTTCTCTTTTGACACTCAACTCTCAGTCTCTGTACTCCAAGAATCTGGCAACATCATGAAGACCAGCCTCCTTATAGCAGCCGACAATCCGGTCCAAGTAATCGTCCCAACTACCATCAATGGAAGCCAAGTCCAGTAAGAACGCTGCCTCGTCCAGGACAATCTGTGACTCCAGAAGATGATGGAAGAACAAGAAAAAGAAAACATAATGTCAAAAGCTTCTTCAGTCGGTTGTACAATATAGGCAACAGCTTTGGTTTCTAAATGACCTGAGCAGGATCTTTCCCCTTGTTAAGGTCTTGTTGCCTTCCATCTTCTGTTACTCTTTCTTGCATGTACTCAATCTGCTCATCTTCCCATTCTGCTATCTCGGCGACTTCCTGGAGGAGAAGAAAGAAAGAAGGAAAGAAAGAAAGTTGGCATTTTCAACAACTGGAACAATGAAAGAAGGCACAATGAACCATCTAAAAGGGATACAATACCTTATAAGGGCAACCAAGAGTCCACCATGGCGACTTCAAAGCACCCCTGGCTGCATCTTTAGCTTCTAGCGTACGCCCAACCCTAACAGCAGAAAAGGAAATAGATCCATCGGATAGAGAAGCCTTGAACACTATGCAGCTAACAAAAACCATCCATAATAAAGTTTGGAGGAGAAGCAAGCAGAGGAAATTCTGTCACAAACTTGAGCAATATCTTGGAATTGAATACAAAGGGCCTTGCGAATCCCGGAAAGTGCTCTTTCCTTGTATAGTATTCCCCAGTAACCAAAGCAGAAACCTTACAGAAGCAAACAATGTCAGTACATTAACATATTTTTGAGAGGCAGATAAAAACATACTGAAGTATCTTACCTGGTCCCCTTTCTCGAAATGGCGCATCACTTTGCGCTCCAGGACATCAGGAAACAAGCCAACCTGTTGAAGCGACCGCCGATTTTAGCAGCAGTTTAGATTATTTCTCTGCTTATGTACACATTTATAGTACATGAAAGGGGGTACCTTCTTTAACAGATAAACATCTAGATCGGAAATCTGAGATTTAGCAAAGTCACCCTTGGTATATAGATTCTCCCCTGCATCCGCTGCAGCATCAAATATCTCATCATTGCCTTTGTAAAGCAAATTGGCATCCTCCTCTACCAAGATTCTGTGGATGAATTGATCAACCTGTTGAAAGAAGTGCATAAACTTTCAGTATTGAGAAGGATAGAACCATGATTCCCATAGACTGTTTATTATCCGAAAGCTACATACCGTCTTTGCCAGAAGCCAAACTCCATATTTTCGAACCTCTACTACCGGCATTTCCATCCTGCAAGTACCATATGCAGATTATTAACATGATCACAGGAAAAATTACAGTGATCCAAGCAACATCAAGGGCATAGGGGTTTTCGCAATCTCTTACCCAGGCGGCGCAGTTGGCCATCTCAGCAATGCAATTAAATCATCTATCCTTAACATTAAATCAAACTCCCAGTCAGAAGCTTCAGTTTTTAACTTTCTTTGTCAACACTAGCAACCTTCAACTTCGCTGGGACAACAAAACTCAACCATACCTGAGCTAGTTTTCGCAAGTGGAATAGCTAGCGGGATTAACCCTTGCTTGTCTCCAGGTGAAACAATAGAATCTCCTGTTTTTGCAACATGAAAATGGAATCTAATTCATTGTCAACAACTTAATGGAAACATAGAGTGTACAACAGTTCTAGTTCATGAATATCCCCTGATTAATTTGGAGACAAAAAACTCAGCTCTACAACATGCAATTTTCAAATGGAAACTCCCAAAACCCAGAAGCCCAGGGGATGGGAAATTCACAACTCACCCTTTACCAGTGACAAAAAAAAGTAGCTCAATTACTCATATGGGATTTCTCAAGAGTGAAGCCACAAATGGCATACTTCCCGTTAAACAGGACACTGCTGAAAAGTACAGGAAGTTTTTACCTCTGGTGCGGAGCATTCTCATTAAGTGGGGCAAATGCTTGGGAGGCTGAATCGCTGCTACATCTCTGATGAATTCCGTATGGTCTGCAAGGAAAGTTCCGAAACGACAAAATTAGACGGAGACAGAATGAAACTGAAAGAAGAACTGCAAGATGATTGATTCGACAGGCGACCAAGATCCCCCCCACCGGGAAATAGAAGCGATGGAGTAGGAGAAGGAGAAGCGGCGGCGGAGAAGCAGCGTAGCGTCGGCCGGCGGCTGAGGCCGTGGCCAAGGAGCAGAGAAGTGGCGCGTGGAGCTCCATACACCATTCCTCCTCCAATCCTCATTTTGTTTTCTTCCTCGATTAATCTCGTCCTTGGCCTCCCGCGGTGTGTTCCGCAGTTGGTTTTGTTGAGTTCATCAGGACTGTGATTATTATAAATGAAAAAATAAAAATTAGTATCGGGACTGTGCTTTCTCGGCCGATGAGTGGCCCATTTTCTACTCGGGCCCAGTTCATTTTTTCCGGGTCTACACTAGGCTGCTGTAATTTAAAAGAAAATTATTATTTTTGTTATTAAAAAGTAAAAACCCAGATAAATATATAAATTATTTACGAAATTGAGATTCCTACATATTCACAACTTCATTATAGCTAAAATAGTGGTAATACAATTTAAATTCTTAATTATTTGAGAAAAATTACATTTAGTGTAGGCAAAAATTGGTTGATAAGGGCTAGTCAGGGCAGATCAGATCGAGAAGAGTACATATGTATGTCCGCTCTATCCCTAAACAGGTCTGGTCAGTACCCTCTTTCCATAGGATCCTTCGTTATGAAAAAAGATTAGGGTCTCTAATATCGTAGGCACTTTATCGTTGTTCTCGAGCGAAATCTAGGACGAGTGCCCTTTTGCTTTAAGTTGTAAGGGATGGATGATCCATTGTATGTGGGGTAGGGGATTCTTTCCACTCATCAACAGAATCGGGATCTGCTCCGCTACATCTACTTAACGGCTTTTTTTCCTCGTACTTTCGAACGGCTCTTGAAAAGCTAATTTGTGCGCCTGAAAAGTTGGGTTTCAATATCCCAAACTAAACTAACTATATGATGTTTTTTATTCAAAATTTTCATCTGTTTACGTAGAGACGAAAAGTTTCTTTCCAGAGGCCAAATCAACTATTTCGTTTGAGGGGTCAGAAAGCCCGTGTTTTTCTACAACGTAATGTTGTAGTAAAATGGTATCAAAATAACCAGAAAATTGTATAAATTATCATCCCTCAAAACAGCCAGGTGGACACAATTTGAACTCGCCCCGTCGTGTATTATCTGATCCGCTATAGCGTGGCCGTGGGACGGGGCCTACGTTAATACTTTCGACTTGCCCACCCCGCCACATTCTTGCCCTGTACTATCTCATTTTTCTTTGATAGCTTTTTTTATTTCTTCTATTTTGATTTTTTCAATGATATTCACATAATAAAACTTTAAAAATGTGTAGAACTTTATCTTTTAATTATTCAGACTCAATTTTTCATTCTAATATCATTATCTTCATTCATAAAATGTTTTTGCTTTGTTTTATCATAAAATAATTATTATTTTTGATTTATTTTCTTCAAATAACATGTCAGAATGGGTCGATCCACCCGTACTCGCACGAATATTACTTGTCCCGACTCATGCTTGGTGCGGGTATCTCATACTCGCCCCACCCCACTTGTTTGTCGTCCCTAGTTGGACCCTCTCATGTACTAATTGAAAAGGTCGGGCATGAATCATTTATCGGCCTATCATATGAAATGCGGTCAAGACAAGGTCCACTAGACATCATTCAGACCGGTTAACGATTGGGTCTAGATGGAAGTGGCCAAGTTGACCTTCCTAGGTCTATTACACCCAACTAGGGATGACAACAAATAAGTTAAGAAGCACATAGTGTATATCTATTAGGCTACCCAAAATAGTTTGGATTTTACCCTTACCCATACCCATGCAACAATCATAATATCAAAATCATACTTGTACCCAATCAGATTTTGAGTATCCACAGTTATCCATGGAAATTTGATAGCTCTGAACCATGGGGGACATAATCACATGCACCTTAACTGATTTCTTTTTTCTCTAAGGTATGTAATCTCCCTAGTATCACACAATTAAAGATTACATCTAGTCATTTTTTTCATTCACATATGAACACAACTCAACTACTGAACGATAATTGTCTCCTTTTTGTACCTTTTCAACACGAGACCCACTCTCTTAGTCCTTCCTAGAGGAGCACTTTTCGATATGGAAGGTGATATGTTGTATAATAGGGGTCAAATTTATCTTGTTGGTAATCATGATCGTATTTTCTTCAAGCCTTTCACATCTCTTTACTTAGTCAATAAGGGACCTACTTTGGGTTTTAAAACGAATTGTAGAGAGTAAGGTGCATCAGGGGTTAAGGTTCCTCTTAGTTTATGTTGAAAATCAAAAGGAAAAGTAACGCTAAATTGAACTATTAAACGAGGGAAAACATAAAAGAAATGCATTATATAGGCAACTTTCCTCTGGAGTTTCTGTATAATCGCTTCAATTTGATAATTGGTAACATATGTGATTGAATGAGTCCAAAATGGATCCTCATCCATTATGCTTCTATGTTCTGCTAGCCTCCCTATCACACCATTATGGCTTTCCCTCATCTACCTGGATACGAGAATTAGGGGGTGAAGCTCCAATCGTCGTTTCTGACTTCCAGCAGCTGGGCCTTAAACGTCTTCTGTTAACTTAAAAAATTTAAAGAACACAAAACGTTGTAGCATGGTATCCCTAGAATGATAGGACTAATCCACTGGAGAGCTAGAACTCTCCAAGACTGAAAATCCACTATGTCTGCTTAGTCTCTAGCCAACTACACACACCCACACATATAACTCATAAACCCCAAACCCTAGCACGGTTCCGCTTTGCCTAATGCATGAGATGCATGGGCTGAAACCAACCCACTAAGAAATGAGCTTAACCCCGACGTCGGCTACAGTCCACTACAAACACATACTACTACATACAAATTGACACACATGGCTCAACAGCTTCCCCTAAATTGATACAAGTGACGAAGCATCAATTTGCTATACAAGTACCAATGACGAGCTTTAGTGAAGGACTTGGTGAAGAGATCTGCCAGCTGATCCTCACTCCAGAGATAGTGTAACTGAACAGTCCCATCACACACCAAGTCTCGAACATAATGCACATGTAGCTCAATATGCTTTGTACGGTCGTGAAGCACTAGGGTGGTGGCAATCTGGATCACACACGTATTGTCCACAAAAAACTCCAAAGGAAGGGAACATGAAACACCCATCTCACCCAACAGGCGACGAAACCAAACTAACTCAGAGCAAACATCCGACACGCTGATATTCCGCCTCAATAAAGGATTTCGATACCTTATCCTGTTTCTTAAATCGCCAAGAGATGAAAGAGACACCAAACTGGACGACCAACCAATAGTGGAGCGGGGCTTGTCCACAACTTGAAAAATCAGAGTAAAAAAATGCACGAAGAGCGTGTGAGCCAGTCGAAGGGACAAAATTTTGACATCACGCTTACCCTGCAAGTACCATAATATCTGGTGAGGGGCAGCAAGATGGTCCACTAGAGGCACCGCCATAAACTGACTGAGGATCTAAACCGCATAAGAAATGTTCAGACGAGTCGTCAAAAGATAGATCAAACTACCAACCAAGCTTCGATAGTAGAACCATCGGTTAACAGAGCACCTGATGCCCGATTAAGCTTCAAATTCACCTCCATGGGTATACTCCTCAAAGTTGTGATCACTCAACAAAATCACCAATATATTTTTGTTGACTAAGAAGAAGACCCTCATAATTGCAAGTAACCTCAAACCAAGGAAGTAGGATAACTCATCAAAATCCTTCAGTGTGAAGGCAGACTTGAGACCAGGCTTCAGTGCCGAATACCAGCTGCATCATCCCCCGTAACGACCATATCATCCACGTAAAGAAATAGAACAACTAACCCAACAGTCGAAGACTTAGTGAACAGTGTGTGGATCACTAATGCTTTGGCTAAACCCAAGATGCAGAATAGTGGAGTGAAATTTGTCAAACTAGGCACAAGGCACTTGCTTGAGCCCGTACAAGGAACGATGAAGGAGACACACCTGATTAGGAGTACCAAGAGTATAGCCAGGAGATCGCTCCAGGCAGACCACCTCCTTTAAATCCCATGCAATAATGCGTCCTTCATGTCCAAATGAAACAAAGGCCACCCACAAAAAGAAGCAACAACTAGTAAAGTACGAACCATTGACATCTTGGCCACCAGAACAAAGCAAAGAGAGGAAGGAGAAGAGTGATGACTGATGAGTTCTAACTGGGTGAAGGAAACTATTGATGGAAGAACGAAGAGGTGGAGATACAGTGTTTACAATCTTTCATCTAACAAAAGCCCTAGGATCTTAAACATAATAATATAAGGCAAGATATACCGTTTAACAAATTTATGAATTATCAAGAAGTTAATTCATAAAAGAAATTATCACAAAGTCAACTTATAAGATATAGATCAATTTGCTTATAAATCAGTCGTCGTGTTGGCTCATTAGCTACAATGTTAAATCTATATTTGGTCACTGAGATTACTAAATCGTGTCATGTTTAGTCACTAAAAAAATTTAATATAAATTTTGGTCACTCGAATTACTGAAACATGTCACATTTAGTCATTCTCCGGTTAGCTTCCGTCCAACTCCATTAATTGGACAGATGCTACTTGAGAATGACTAAATGTGTCATGTTTCAATAATTCGAGTGACTAAATGTATTATGTTTCAATAATTTCGAGTTACCCTAATAAATAAGTTCGAGATTCAAACAAACATATTTCGAGTCGAACTGGAAAACCAGCGGTGAGAAAAATAACGAAATTTGTAGATTCGGGATTTGGAGCTTCGCAATCTCTCTCTCTACCGTTAATCTCGTATTTCATTTCCCAAGCACACTCTTTGCTTCCTACTGAACACAATCGAATCATTTCTATGCCCTCTGCTCCTAGATCGGAGCTCAACAAACCAGGAGGCCGCCGGCCTTGCCTCCGGATCGAAAGGAGCAGTAGAAGAAGAGAAAGAAGATGTTGCGGCTGAAAGCATTCAGGCCGAACCACGACAAGATCTTGAAGATTCAATTGCATCCCACGCATCCATGGCTTGTAACCGCCGACGCTACCGATCGCGTCTCCGTCTGGAATTGGGAGCACCGCCAGGTATCGCCTCTCAACAATTTCAATATGCATCGTTCTCCTCACTTGCTTCAGCATCTTCCTTGCCCTTCTTTTGACCCGAGCAATATCGCCGGCGGTTTCGCATTTCAGATTATATACGAGCTCAAAGCCGGTGGTGTTGACGAGAGGCGTTTGGTCGGCGCCAAGTTGGAGAAGCTCGCCGAGGGCGAATCCGGTGAGTTATGCCCAATGTGAATTTTGAATTTAGGTGTGCGTAATTGTAACTCCATGAGCTAAGAAGTAATGTGCTTTGATTTGACAGAGCCCCGAGGGAAACCTACTGAAGCCATGAGAGGTGGCAGGTAACTAGATCAATGCCTAAACAACCGTGTTTGCTATTGCTCATTCTTTGTAGTTTACTTAATCTCATGTTTGATGAAGGTTTTATTTCTGTTCTTTTGGAAAAGTGTTAAGCAGGTGAATTTTTATGATGATGATGTACGGTTTTGGCAATTATGGAGAAACCGAGGTGCAGCTGCGGAGGCTCCTTCCGCTGTCAATAATGTCACTTCTACATTCACTTCCCCGGCTCCTTCAACCAAAGGGAGGCATTTTCTCGTCATCTGTTGTGAAAATAAAGCAATATTTTTGGATTTGGTGACTATGCGTGGCCGTGATGTACCCAAGCAAGAGCTCGACAATCGATCACTTCTCTGGTAACTCGTAGTACAGAAAGTCCTTTGGCTTTCTTTGTTATTTCATTTATTTGCCTTATGCTCCCAGAGCCTGCTCGTTTGCTCCAATTAGCATATAATGTAGTTTCCAAAGTCAAATAGGGTTTGTGCTGTCTCAATGAAAAAAAGTGAAACATATTCTTCTCGTGCTTGAAGTATATGCAACATGATAAATATATGGTTCTCCTTTAGTACGAATGCCCTTTCCGATTTTCGCTTTTATAAACTTTTTGCTTGATTGTGATTTGTGAATGTGTAATCAGCTGCTAGGCTTTCTTTCAGTAATGCTGTCTTTCCCCCCTCTACAGTATGGAGTTCCTCTGTAGATCCACTGCTGGTGAAGGTCCTCTGGTTGCTTTTGGTGGATCAGATGGTGTTATTAGAGTTCTTTCGATGATCTCGTGGAAGGTTTGTGGCTTCTTGAACCCAGAAATAAGGAAGGACAGAAGATATAATTGCTTTTCGTGTTGCAAATACATGCTGCTTTCAGTAATCGATAATTGTTTGTTGCAGCTTGTACGTAGATACACGGGAGGTCATAAAGGTGCCATAGCTTGCTTAATGACCTTCATGGCTTCCTCCGGTGAGGTACTTCTTTCATTCCAATGCTGCATTCATTTTGATATATATTTGGAATCATGCTTAGCACTAAAGAATGTATCCTGTATGCTTCACATCTGTGCTCTCATATGAGCTCATATTGATCTATAACTCGGAATTATTTACCCATGATTTCAATTAATTTGACTAGGCGCTACTTGTTTCGGGTGGTAGTGATGGTCTACTTGTACTTTGGAGTGCTGACCACGTTCATGATTCAAGGGAGCTTGTGCCCAAGCTAAGTTTAAAGGTGGGTAGCTTCCTCTTCCTTGTCTTATCATTCTAGTTCCGGAATCTCATCTGTAGCTTGTGGTTCAAACAAGAATGCATAACCTTCTTGGATTTAAGGGTATTGTTCAAGATTCAATATTGTTTGTGAAGGTACCCCCAGAAAATGATGTAGGATTTCATGTTTATGTACCTTTTTTATTTTTTGATTGGATATAATATAAGCATGTTCTGCTTGAAGTTTTTAATTCGTGTACATTCTTATTGTGCTACATTCAATTGTGTTCTTTGTACAAGCCAGACTGGTATTCTTACACTTGTTTAATCTTGCCAAAGGCACATGACGGCGGGGTTGTAGCTGTTGAGCTTTCTAGAGTAATTGGAGGTGCTCCACAACTTATTACAATTGGTGCTGATAAGACATTAGCTATATGGGACACAATGTCTTTCAAGGTGCTGTGCAGACACAAATTTGCTTTGCACAATCTTTATTCATCTTGTTGATTCCCTTTATCTTGTCTTCTTTTGCACAAATGCAGGAGTTGCGGCGTATCAAACCTGTTCCAAAAATGTCTTGTCACAGTGTTGCATCTTGGTGCCATCCGCGAGCTCCAAACCTTGACATTTTAACTTGTGTCAAGGATTCCCATATATGGTGTGCTTAATCTGTCTCTTACACATCAGTATCAACGTTGGTGCCAGCAAAAAGTTAGTGATTTTAAGCAATATAAACATTGCATATTTATTTTTACAGGGCGATTGAACATCCAACTTATTCAGCCCTCACTAGGCCATTGTGTGAGCTGTCTTCCCTCATCCCACCACAGTATACAATAGGAAGCAAGAAACTCAGGGTACAGAACTGTCTCTCAAGCTTCTATGTGTATGAAATTATAAGGACTCCAACATTCAGTTATCAGGACATCTAAATGCTTCCAATTTAAAGTTTACCAGTTTGATTATCAAGCAAGGGAAAATGAGTAGTTGCTTTGTCCTTCCTCTTACTCGTTCTTACTTCCAGAACCTCAGAATTGCTGTGTGTACTTTGACTCATCAATGAAGGGAATAATGACTATGGTTTCTTGTATTATTAATAGTGTTGAGTGCTGTTTACATCCGTATCTGCTTTGTCAAGGGAGGTAATAGATGCAATGCTGATATTGGTAGCTAGGCTTTTATGTTTCAACTCTGTTTTCACCTGTAGGACAACGTTTCTGTACTTGCGTCGCAATTCTGATCCAAATTGAAATAGCGAAATCAATATTCATAACAGTTTAGCATTGACAATTTGCAGCAACTAAAATAAGAGCAGGAGCTTAATGATCTATATATGGATCTGAATTGTTAACATCAGTACTTATATTTTGTACGCATACAGTTGTTTGATATATATATGCATACACTGTATCTCTTTCTCTTAATATCTTCATCTGGATGAATGCATCACATGGTTAACACTGTTGCTTATGGCAGGTGTACTGCATGGTTGCACATCCTCTACAGCCTCACCTTGTTGCTACTGGAACTAATGTTGGTGTTATTATCAGTGAGTTTGACCCTAAATCTCTGCCAGCAGTGGCACCCCTGCCAACACCACTAGGAAACCGTGAACATTCTGCTGTCTATGTAATTGAAAGGGAATTGAAACTGTTGAACTTCCAACTTTCCAACACGGCGAATCCATCTCTTGGAAGTAATGGCTCTATATCTGATACTGGAAAGCTCAAGGGAGATGCTGAACCGCTACATGTCAAACAGATTAAAAAGCACATTAGCACACCTATTCCTCATGATTCATATTCGGTTGTTTCAGTCAGCAGTTCTGGAAAGTGAGTTGCCTTCTATATGTCCTCAGTTCTTTTTGTATGTTATTAAACTGCAATATGTCTTGCTGATATTTTGCTCCCTTGATCTGTAAAGAGTCATCTAAAAGAGACTTTATGGAGCCAGCAGGCTGCTAGAACATGGCTCTCACTGTTTTTCCTTGATATGCTTAAACCTCTTTGATGTTTAATCAAGGCCCAATGGCTTTTGGTCGTGCCCAGTCATCATTCACTTTTGTTGGATATTCTTGAATACATGTTCAGGTATATTAAAAGTTAAGTTGGTTGCAGGTATCTTGCGATTGTCTGGCCCGATATTCCCTACTTCTCTATATACAAAGTCAGTGACTGGTCTATTGTAGATTCAGGGAGTGCACGGCTTCTGGCTTGGGATACATGCCGTGATAGATTTGCTATATTGGAATCTGCCGTGCCTCCTAGGATTCCTATAATTCCTAAAGGAGGTTCCTCAAGGAAGGCAAAGGAAGCAGCTGCGGCTGCTGCTCAGGCTGCCGCTGCAGCTGCTAGTGCTGCCGCTACTGCTAGTGTCCAAGTTCGGATTTTGCTTGATGATGGGACATCAAATATATTAATGAGGTCCATAGGTGGTCGCTCTGAGCCAGTATGTGATCTAACTCATAGTGACACACTGTATTTGCTACTTCTGGTTTACTCTTCTTTGATTCTCTCTCTCATACTGTAAGGACTTCAAGCTTGTTTGTGCATAAGTTTCTCCTGCTATTGCAGTTGCATTGCATACATATGCTGCACACTGGATATGAGTAAATTGTGGGATTCCCTGACATCATATAATAGTCTTGAGGGTGTAAAGTTCTTCTGGAGACTAAAAATGTCTTCTTTTCCTGGATCCCTTAGTATTGGTGTCTCTTTCTTTCGTTCACATGCAAATTATAAAGTTTTATATGAAGGCCTAGGGCTTGTTTTTCAATTTTAACTCTTAATGTGCAATGTTCTAAAATGGTGGGACATAGTTAAGCAGAGTTTGTCATGCTTTCCATCTCTATGTGGGGTATCGTAATTATATTTAAGGTATCTCTTTTGTCCTTGCTTAGAGCAGGATGCTCTTATCTCAAGTATCTTCTGTTTCAGGTTATTGGTTTGCATGGAGGTGCACTATTAGGTGTGGCTTATCGGACATCACGGAGGGTCAGCGCTGGTGCAGCAATGGCTATTTCAACCATTCAGCCAATGCCATTGTCTGGCTTTGGAAGTTCCTTCACAACAATTGATGATGCAACACATCGTTCTGCTGCTGAGGCAGCCCCTCAAAATTTCCAGTTATACAGGTGAGGATCTATATATATATTTCCTGTCACTGGAACTTGAGAATAGTTGAACAGTGAAAATAGGTTCCTTTCCTGTCATTATTACCTTACTGGCAAAGAGTGTTAGTGCTTTACCTCAATGCTAGATCTTTGAGGTCCTTCTGCAATAACATGTTTTTGCTTTGCACCTGCAAAATTATATCTCATTGTAAACAGGACTACTCTTACTCTCTAACTATTACAAATTTACTGCGCAGTTGGGAAAGTTTTGAGCCCGTCGGTGGTCTACTTCCTCATCCAGAATGGACTGCATGGGACCAAACTGTGGAGTATTGTGCTTTTGCTTACCAACAATACATTGTAATATCATCCTTGCGACCCCAATATCGATATCTTGGAGATGTCGCAATCCCTTACGCTACTGGTGGTGTATGGCATCGGAGGCAGCTTTTTGTTGCCACACCAACTACTATTGAGTATGATTTGAACTGCTTACGTTGACTGCTCTCTTGCTGGAAGCACAGTCCAGATCATTATACTTTTTCTATTATGCTACATTGTGCTACACGTGACAGGAAAGACACGTAAAACAGGTTCTAATAATTTGACTGTACCTCAGGTGTGTTTTTGTGGATGCTGGAGTTGCTGCAATTGATTTGGAAACTAAAAAGATGAAGGAAGAGATGAAACTGAGAGAGGCACAAGCTAGGGCAGTTGCTGAGCATGGGGAGCTAGCACTGATTGCAGTAGAAAGTCCTCAGACCTCAGCACAAGAAAGAACAGCATTGCGACCACCAATGCTGCAGGTGAGTTGTTGCTTTCTTCTCGTTCATAGATATATTCAGCCTGTTTAGAACTTTAGACTTGAATGGCTTCTCTTGTACCTTTTCTGCCTTTTACTTTTTCACTTTAACCTTCAACATGAGTATGTTCTGATAAATTTAAGAGTCCACCATGTAAACGTTCATTGGTAGAAAATGAAGTTGGAAATTTAATTCAAATCGATACTCTACTGAAAATATTAACCTGAGGAGAAGGGAATCTTCAGGATGCAGTTATTTTCCTTAAAATCAGATCTCGTCACGGGTCTGTTCACCTGGAAATCCTGAAGATTTCCTTTTTTACTCCCTTTCTTGGAGTGACCGATTCTGGGGAGTTAGAAACTCTAAAAAAGAGCAACTCTTCTGACTTAAAAACTTAAAATTCTGCTTGTTTATTAACCCGGCTGAGACCTCATTAAGAATAGGAAAGAACCTTATCCTAACTACAAGAGCTAATATTGGTCCTTTTTCTCGAGTAACACTAATTGAATAGTAATACTTTCTATGTAATCGAACCTCCTAAATAAGGTTTAGGTAATAGTTATTGCTCAAACAAAGAACACAGCGGTATAAATACTAAATTTGACAGGAAGGGAGTTGTAGACTACGACTCAATCTCCATTTTTCTACTCATGCCGGTGGTGATACTGATTTGGCCACAACAGGTCTACTGTAGATTTACTTTCTAACTCTTATAATGTTCTCTTTCTCTTTGCAACCCTGGGAGGATTTTTTTCCCCGTGAAAACCAAGGAAAAAGTAAATTAGCTGAAGGGAGCTAGCTAGACTAGGTGCCAGTGCTCTGTTCTTTAAGATCTGCTGAATGACTGTTACAGGCACATGGTGGAATGGTAATTCTGAGGGAATTGTTAGGCTATTATTTTTCTTGGAAAACATTATATGTTTCTGCTGTAGCCAGACAGAAGAAATGAGACAAGACCAAAATGAAAGGAGTGAACTTCCTTGGAATGTTTAGCACACAGATTTCACTCATATGTCTTCTACATAGACGAGGACCTTGTGACAGGTTGTAGAGTAGAAAGATGAAAGGACAAAGGAGAAGACCTGTGCTTTGATACGTGCTAATGGCTGAACAAGTTTTCCTCCTCCAACCATGTAACTCTTGAGTTTAACTTGAATGGAAAGAAACTACCTACAAAAATAAAACACACAAAACAAGTATTTTTGCAGTTGAGGCACGTGTCTTTAATACTTAATTTGTTTGATTTTTATTTGAAAAAACAGCTGTTTTGGAACTGAATACTGAAATTTTTGTGTAGCATCCGTTGGTCTGTGTGTTTGTGCAGTTGCGCAGTCCTAGCTTGTGTCAATTGATGGAATAATTATGGCAATTACTCCACAATTGCTATTCGTAATTGTGGATTGATGGTGGAAGTGGAACGATGCTGCTTGGTCCAGCAGTTGGTTAGACAAATTAACCAATCCATCTTCTAAATACCTGTATTTTCTTTCCAGGTGGTTCGTCTAGCTTCATTCCAGCATGCTCCTTCAGTGCCACCTTTCTTAACATTACCAAAGCAGACTAGGGTCGATGGTGATGACCCCACAATGCCAAAAGAGATGGAAGATAAAAAGTACAATGAGGTAGCTGTTGGTGGAGGAGGGGTGTCTGTGGCTGTTACACGCTTTCCAACAGAACAAAAACGACCTGTGGGACCTCTTGTTGTCATTGGTGTAAGAGATGGAGTTCTGTGGCTTATTGATAGGTAACAATATACTCTCTTTTTTCCTTCTAAATTACTGCTCCTTGAACTTGTGGTTTACTCTCGCCAAAGCCATTTCTAACCAGATGAGTATCGTGCTAGTTGGTTTTAGGTGTGAAATTTGTTTGTGGAGATTGATCAAAATCTGAGTTTGTGTTTACCCTAGTTTCTCATTTGGTGAACCTGAGCTCGTGTTTTTACTAACCCATGCTGAATTCACCGCCCTTAATAGAACCATAGATAAGAGAGGGAGAAGAGGGGGGGGGGGGGGGTAGGAATTCTTCTGAAGGTCTTTCCTTCATTTTAGGCATAAAGCTACAAACAGTACACCAGAATTGGTGATCTAGGACTGTGGGTAATCAAGTTTTCTTCCTTTGTTTGGAATGGTTTGATAATGCTATTAGCTTTTTGACGTGATCTAAGTCGTTTTGGCTATGTAACTCATATTATCAGAGTTCACTGTTTTTATGGTATTGCCATATAGCGCATAAGAGAATCTTCACAAAAATTCAACATCTGCTGTGGATGGTGAAGTGGTTCTTTGTTTGCTTCTTTCTTGATTTGATCTCAACTAGTTTCCTTTTTCCATTTCCTTTAGAGGTATCAATCTTCATTCTAGGGTATATACTAAATGGGAGTATTCTGCAGTTGCATGATATGATCTTTAATTTGGGTCGTGTTGTTGAATGAATGTAAGACTCCATTGGTTCGTTGAGTAGCCGCCTATGCAACATGCGGTGGCCACTTCTCCCATTTAAACACATTATACTTCCCACTATTTAAATCCTAGTTTAGAGGTTTGCTTTCTATTGATAGTGGACCGACAGTTCCTTGTACTGCCTTCTCCTGGTTGAAACAAAAGGAGCCCTTCCTAATTCTTTTTATGATTAGTATCACCCATAATGGAAGACAAACTCTAGTACAAGGCTATTGCAGCAGTTTTATTTTAACATTTCTGGCATCTTCATTAGTCGGAAGGAGAACAAGAAAACTGTTGTGGCTTCTGATTCTAACTGTTAATGAATGAATGTGGAAATAGGTTCACCTTCTTTTCATTTATTTATCTCTCTTTGCTTTTACATGGTTCTGTACTTTCTTCATTATAGCTGGTGGCATGCTAATGTTCTTTGGTATTATTGTTGATAGGTATATGTGCGCACATGCCTTATCTCTCACTCATCCTGGTATTCGTTGCCGGTGTCTGGCTGCTTATGGAGACGCTGTTAGTGCAGTGAAATGGTATTAATTCTTCATATTTCTTTCTTCTATTATTCATTTGGTGTTTGTCTGCATATGATCCACGAAGGAAACCGTTTATTTTATTTTATTTTATTCTGATTGATTACGATTTACGATATCCCATCTTTTGTATGCAGGGCAAGTAGGCTTGGTAGGGAACATCACGACGATTTGGCACAGTTTTTATTAGGAATGGGTTATGCTACCGAAGCACTTCATTTACCTGGAATATCTAAAAGGTCTGATCCCTAATATTTTCTTCAACTCTTTCTGTTGGCATTTAGTACATTGAAAATATTGACTATGAAAATGTCCATTATTATATCTAGGTTGGAGTTTGATCTGGCCATGCAGAGTAATGACTTGAAAAGAGCTCTTCATTGCCTTCTCACTATGAGCAACAGTAGGGACATTGGGCAAGATGGTACGGGCCTGGAATTGAGTGACATCCTTAATTTGACTGCTAAGAAGGAAGATGTTGTTGAAGCTGTTGAGGGAGTTGTGAAATTTGCCAAGGAATTTTTGGATCTCATTGATGCTGCGGATGCTACCGGTCAAGCTGACATTGCTCGTGAAGCACTCAAGAGGTTATCCACTGCAGGATCAGTGAAAGGTTCCTTACAGAGCCATGAATTAAGAGGACTTGCCTTACGACTTGCAAATCACGGAGAGTTAACTCGACTAAGTGTATGCCGAAACCTGTTCCCGACTTTGCATATTTTTCATTTGAATTCTTCTATATTTGAACCTTTACATAGCTAGATTATGCTCGTCTAATTATAAGCACGCTAAAGTTAGGACTTAGGTGCAGCATTAATGCATACCTAAGTAAGTGTTTAGCATTCAACGGTGATTTGGTTCAATTCATACAAATGGCTTCCGATTTTCATCTGTCTACGCACTGCAGGGTTTGGTAAACAATTTGATTTCAATTGGCCTGGGTCGGGAAGCAGCGTTTGCAGGAGCAGTTCTAGGTGACAATGCTCTGATGGAGAAAGCATGGCAGGACACTGGCATGCTTGCTGAAGCTGTCCTTCATGCCCACGTAAGTGTTGTTTGTATATGGACACTAGGGGTGCCAACATAAAAGTCAGGAGCTAGAAATACTAGATGAAACAGGCACATACCAGTCTTTTAGAAATCTGGAATCAAAAGATTTAGATCTGACTGCTGCTCTAATGTTTACACCCTTCAGGCTCACGGGCGACCAACACTCAAGAACTTGGTTCAGGCTTGGAACAAGGTGCTGCAGAAGGAGGTTGAGCACACTCCCTCAACAAAAACCGACGCAGCAGCTGCCTTCCTTGCATCACTCGAGGAACCCAAGCTCACAAGTCTCGGAGACGCTGGAAAGAAGCCACCCATTGAAATTCTCCCTCCTGGAATGCCATCTCTAACCGGTCTAATCACTACCCAGAAAAAACCTGCCCCTGGAACCCCGAGTGCACAGAAGCAACAAACACCGAGTCAACCATTACAGCTCGAGGCACCTCCCGCCACAACACCGGAACCCGGTGCTACATCTGCAAATACAGCTGCACCACCTACAGATGGTGCACCGGCAACTACGCCAGCACAACAAGATGCCGCTCCACCATCAGAAACCAGCGAACCACCAACTGCAGACGGGCAAGAAGCTGCTACCATTTCTTCATCTGCTAGTAATCCAGATCTAGCTGCATCAGGTGACAACAATAATGTACCCCCCTCCGCAAGTAACCCTGAGCCGGTCCCTTCTGGTGAAACTGTCCAAGCTCCCGAAGAGCACTCGGATGGAGGAGACAAGGTTGCAACAATAACAGTAGCACACTCCCAACAAGAACCCTCATTGCCAACAAATAACCAGGGAGGAACCGTTAGTCATCCCCCGACGTTAAGCATGAGTGAGTTTCTTTCCTAAACCAATGATGAACGAGGCGTAGCGTAGTGACGATTCTTTTCTGTGATTATGTTTATTTGAACCAATTGCCATGATGTGGGGGAAATTTTCTCGTTAGCTTAGCAAGTTTGTGCCTTAGGGATGTGTATAAAATCTTGTATGATGTATTTTGGTGATGTAGATTGTACGATGCCATTTTTTACAGTACGGGGTTAGGGGGGAGAGATTGGATTTTTTTGTAGCCGGTGGGCCATAGTTTTTCTTCTGGGTTTGTATTGTATTTGCTTCTTCTAGAATCGAAAAGAAAGCAATTTGAGGGTCCTGAAGGTTTTCTAAATATGTTGGATTGTTTATAAATGTTTAAAGGACTTCTCTTTCACAATAGTACATCAGTGTGCCAACTTTCAGTTTGACTTGTAGTACCCTGATCTATGTGTTATATTAATGGTTTCGGAACCGAATCGGAGCATGACCCGTTAATGCGACCGGCTCGTACTTTAGTGGTCCAATCGGCATTAGATCGTTTAAAAATCGTTAGAGAACTGGTACCTAATAAACATTATCAGTATAAATAGTGGACATTTCTTAATCAGAGCTCATCTCTTTCCTTCGAAATTGTGAAATGGAAATAAGGATTCAGTTTGAGAGCCCGACGTTTTTGGTTTATTTCAATTTTTTGCAATTTTTTTAATTAAATTTAACGGCTGAATGACAAAAACCGGACGAACGACTCGATCGGCTCGAGCGGTTAACCGCATCGGTTGCTCGCCAACCGCTATATAAAATCGAAGCGGCTTTTAAACTGTTCCGAGCCAATTTTTTGACCAGGTGGCGATTTTACCGGTCGGGCCGAGCGGCTCGACTCGGCTTTAATAACACATGTTATATAAGAAAAGTCAGCAACCTTAATTGCGGTAGAATCATATCTAATCCGGATAAGATGGTAGCTAGCAGCTAACATTTACGATTCTTTAATATGAGGGATCCACCATTCCATTCTTAAATGAATTTTTAGTGCTTTATGTAATGTAGTGGTTGCTCGTTATGCCAACAGTGTCAAAGGATTTAGTTGTTTCTGAAATCCGGATGAAATGTCTGCATGGCCGCAGTATTTCAAGCGCATGGAAATAATGTAGTCATTTCGATTTTGGGTCCTTTTGAAATCTATGGCAAAAGGTCTAAGATATATAGGATCAATTGTATAAGCATAGAAATATGCAAAATTATTGATAAGTAGGTTAATTATTCACGCTATCGGTTGTTTCGCAAAAAGAACCGATATCCAATTCAATCGATATGGGTCAGATGATTAAATTGGCTTTGAATATTTCCGTTTTGGGTCCTTTTAAAATCTACTACATTTTTTCATTTATACAAATTTTAAATATTCGTCTCTCTATGTATATGGTCGGTTTGATCTTATCATATTTGTATGCTAAAATTCTTCGAGAAAAAAAAAGATAAAAGTTTGCTAATGTAAAGTGTGTGAGTTCATCAAATGCAAATACTTGAACTCGATGTTAATTTTGATCATACAAATTATCTAAACGGTTCTCACCCAAATCAGAATTTCCAATACAATACACTCCAAAACAAAACAAAATATATTTGGATCCAACTCTCCCAATATTCAATAAATGGTAAATAATCCAATATATAAACTCATTTCCTTTCATGTTCGTATCCCCTAATTGGTTCCCATACATCAAGTAAAGAAAGCATCAATATGCTCAATGGTGAAGCCATGAGTTAGAGTGTGAAGCGACTGAAAATAACAAATTACAACAACATTCAACTATTGAATTTTAGGAGGAGGGAATTGATAGTCATCATTCTATAAGTTTCTAATGTTTTGTCGAGATATGATCAGTGGCTTAGTAATGATTTCACTTAAGGGTCCGATGTATAAATATAAACATATAAAATAAATTTTATTAAGATTTTAATGACTCACAACCTGTTTTCATAGCTTGTCGTCTGATTTTCATTTCACACTAAATTAGAAATTAGTAAACTCAGAATAAACAGTTAAAGACACAATTTTATGTAGAATCTAGAGTATTTTACATTATATACAAGGTTAATGTGTGCTACAAAGTTTTCTACAATGTGTTGATAAACAAGTAAAACTAATGAATATGAAATATGTGATTTTTACAAAAATAACACTATTTAAAAAAAATTCCAAAAATAGCACCCAACCCCAAAAATTCCAAAAATATCACCCTTTCCTAAAAATTGTCACCCGAACCAGCGGTTTACACAAAAACCGCAGGGTGGGGGCACGGTTCTCGATGAAAACCGCACCGTTACAGGACGGTTTTGAAAACCGCTCTGGGTGGGGACGGTTTGGACCAAAACCGCCACCCCACCCAGCGGTTTTGGTCCAATTTTTTTTTCCAGATCAACTCCTAACCTCGGCGAAAATTTCAAACAAACGTAACTTTGCACTCGGGTATCCGATCGCAATGATTTTTTTTTTAATTTATTTAACTATTTATATTAACAGGGTTCAAACCATCACCCCCACAACATGTTTCTTTTTTTAATCTCTACTAAATAAAAATATTTAATGTGAGATGATGGTGTTTCGAACCAAAGACCTCGTGGTGATTATGCCAAGACCACTTATGGTGATTATTTGAAAAAAAAAATTATTACAAACCGCCCCCTAGGGGTGCGGTTTGCACCCGAACTGCTCCGGCCCCACGCGGTCAGCAAAACCGCCACCTACCCCTGCGGTTTTCGTCGAAAACAGCGCCCCCATCCTGCGGTTTTCGAAAAAAGTGCTATTTTTGGAATTTTTCGGGACTGGATGCTATTTTTGGGGAAAAAAATCAAACAATGCTATTTATGGAAAAAGTCCCATGAAATATTGAGTTTTAGTATTATAAATTATGTACAAATATTATTTATTTTGGTATTCTAATCCCGAACTAAGATGAGTTCCGTAACCCACCCTTTTACAAGATGGGTTTACCGGTCGATATACATATTATATCTTTAGATAAAAAAAAAAAAAAAAAATGAGCGGATTATAAACCCCTATTCAATATTGCAAAATTTGTTGGCGTCATACCGACTCACCGAGTCAAAACCCATAAAACAACCATCCTATTCCCACCTACTCTAAACCTTAAAAATGCACCATGTTGTCATGAATTCCAGGAGGTTTGTTGAAAATATTAACAAAGAAACAGCTTCACTACCTTAAACCACACTCCTACATGAATCTATATCTATGTGAAGAAGGAAAGATGAAGAGAAATAAGAGCAAAAAACCTTTCCATGGTTTTGCTTTGTCTGGAGAATGGCGGCACTCCCTGCAGTCTGCACCCACCCTGTCATCAAATTATTTTAGAACTAATTAATCCAAACTTGTTGTTTTCCTTAATTGCATAGCATTATTGCTTGAACCCCTCAACATGACAATATTTGAATATTAGCCAAATGCATTGGATGACAGCAAAGTACATGAGATTTGAAAGAAATGCTCTTTTTGGTACTTGGACACAACCCCAATTCTTAGGCCTAGTATATATATAGAATGGACAAAAGGGTCAGTGAAGCTGCAAATGAATCAAAGCAAACACAATCAACCAAAAAACCCTTCAGCTCTTAACACCTTTCCCCAAGTTATAAAATGGCTTCCTGCCATGTCCGTTCAGTCAGTTTGCCTTCTCAAGCTTCTCACCCTCCAGCTTTCTCCATCATCCAACAGCAACTACACGACCTCAAGACGGCTCCACAATCAGCTGGATCTCTGAGACACAACATCATCAACCTGAAGGCTTTGTCACAGTGCATAGACGACTTGCTCCAAACCCAACTTTCAGAACAGAGGAGCTCCCCTGAACCTGCAACTCGACTAGCCGTCGAGAGCTTGTTGGATGCATCAATCAAGTTGCTGGACATGTGCAGCTCAGTTCGGGACATTATGTCGCGGATGAAGCAGTCGATGAGAGATCTCGAATCGTCTCTCAGGAGGATTCGATCGGACTACTCGAGCCAAGTCGATGGTTACTTGGTCTGCAGGAAAGGGTTGGGTCGTTTGGCCTGCAAGAACATTAAGATCATGGAGAAGAGCCGATGGAATTACATGTCGTCGGAGGAGGAGGAGAAGAGCTCGAATATGGTTGGGGATTTGGTAAGCTTGTTGAGGGGAGTTGAGGAAATATGTGTTGCAGAGTTCAAGGCCATTTTGTGGTTTGTTTCTGCACCAAGAAAGCCACATTACTCCGTGGTCTCAAAGCTGATGCATTCCAAGAGAGAAGTGGTGGAGAAAGGGGAGATTAGAACTGCAACGGTAGTAGAGAAGAAGATTGATGCTGAAATGTTTGCGATCAAGTCGAGCAAGTTTGTTAATGCAGAACAGATTGGTCGCTTGTTGAGAGGACTTGAGGGGTTTGGATCAAGCTTGGAGGAAGCAGAGAATGGATTGGAGGGTCTTTTCAGGAGGCTGTTGAGATCAAGAGTTTTGCTTCTCAACATTCTCAGCAATTAGCTTGGATACATGTATATATGGATTCAGGATAAATTCTGGCATGTTCTTTCCATTGTCATGGCTAAATGTACAGATTCACAAGTAGAAATCTAGTTATGTATGTAAAAAGCAATGCTAACTTCTGTTATGATTGTCATCATTTCGATCTTTTAGTAGGCGGTAATGGTTCAGTAGCGGTTACCTCTTAACTTCAGGTGCATATTGATTTGAAATGTTATGTTCACAAAATTTTGATATAATGTTTACAAACCATTTGTATAGTATTTTTGTTATTATAATTAGTAATTACATAAGTTTTAGGATTAAAACGATATAATAGTCAAACTTTTTATTTTAGCACAAGATAAAAGATAATGCAACATTCATGTCAGTGTCCACGTTAGTATAATTGCTATGTAAAAGTTAATTGATATTTGATTGGATGAAAAGTTAACGGCTTCACTAATTCTATTGTTTTTCCAAAAGTTTGCTTCTTATTTTGTTTAAAATTGAAATTTTGGCTATTATATTGTTCTAATCATAAGTTTTATTCATTTGCTATTTACATTTATGGCTTGATTTTTGGGTCAATTAAGTAGGTGGTATTGGGTGGAGATACATGCATGATGGTGTTGAAGATGAAATCTGGCCTAGTTTACTAAGGGTAGGTCCAATTTCTCTCTAATCTTCATTAGTTAGTCACTTTATCTCTCTAGAATGTAGAAGAAGATCCAAATCTCTCTCTAACACTCATCTCTCTTTTGAAATCTACTCACTTTCATATTTATACCCGACAGTGTATATTTCACGGGCTTTCGTCACGTCTATGATGTGTGTAGTGCAACCGTGATCTCAACGCAAAACACACTATTTCACTTACACACTTCACTGTTTACTTGTACTCTTCACGCCCAACGCCCGTGATCCATGCATTGCCCATAAGACGTTCAAATGCTCCTGGAACTTTGCATTATCCGCGTTCGCGGTTTTGATGCAATCTTCCCGGTCTCCTACCTGTGACAATCTCCCTTGAACTGTGATCCATGCAATTTCCTGTACTTTGTCCCATTTTTGCTCCTTTTCGTCCAACTTCGATCCTTTCGCCCATTTCACCTGTTGCTAGAGCCTGAAACATGCTAAAACAAGACAAGAACTAGCGTAAAATGATTCTAATAAAGATGTTGTACAAGCCAAACGACAAAGTCAAAACGCATTGTTTCACTTACACACTTCACGGTTTACTTGTATTCTTCACGCTCTGCGCTCGTGATCCATGCAGTGCCCGCAAGATGTCCAAATGTTCTTGGAACTTTGCATTCTTCGCGGTTTTGCTGTAAACTTCCCGATCTCCTGCCGGTGACAAATCTGCCTTGAATCGTGATGCATACAATATCCAGTACTTTGTCCAATTTTTTTTTACTCCTTTTCGTCTGATTTTCGATCCTTTTGTCTATTTCACCTGCTAGCGGCTGAAACATGCTAAAACAAAGACAAAATCTAACGTAAAACGACTCCGAAAACGATGTTGTACAAGTCAAATGACAAAGTCAAAAGTATAAAAAAAAACATAATAATAGAATCATTTTCTTACTTTGATTTCAAGCAATCCATCCTCATTTAAGGTTTCAGCTGAAAACAGGTTATACTTATCAGCAAACCATAACTTCGTTTCCAGCAAATCCATTTTTCTATTGCCACAACCACAATCACACAAACCAAAATACATAACATAAACAAAACCCAACACATCAATCACCCAACAAACTCCATGAACTCCGAATCATTCCCAATTCCTTTCATCGTCGCATCCACCAGGCAAATCTGCACATCCACGCTCCCCTCTTCTTTCCCCCTCAACACAGTCACTTTCCCGTCGCTGTAATTCCCCGCCGCCCTCACCGCCACGGGCTTCCCCCAACCGAAGTCATTCCCATACACCTCAAACCTCGGCGAGTCGGCCACAATCAGAGAATTCCTCGCCATGGCACCCAGCTTCCGTACCTCTGGCTTCTCCATCCACTCCTTCACCCACCTCCTCCCTTCTCCATCCGTTTGCCTCTCCACCGTCTCGTTCAGCTTCAAAGCCGCAAACCCAATCCCTTTCGCCGCCAGATCTCCAGCTGAAGCCGTCGCCGTCGCGAACAGCACCACGTTCCCGAAGTAAGCCTCCGGCAGCTTCGGCCTCAGTCTGTGCCTGAAATCCACCAACAGCTTGCAATGAACTTCCTCGTCGGGATCTAGACCGTGACTGTTTCGGATCACTGCTCTCCAAATGTGAGCAAGCATCGACTGAAACGAAGAGATTGGTTTAGCAGAACCAATGTCGGTCTGCTCAGAATTTGCTCTGGCTTTCAGTTGAGCGATTTTGTCCTTGCTGAAATGGAAAATCCTCTGGAGCAGAGGAGGCAGGGGAAGGCTGATTGGGGGTTTTTGAACCGTTTCGTCGAATGAGAATGGGAATCGAATTGGGGGTTCTATCCCGTCGAGGAACCAAGTCCCAATCACCGGAACCGGATTTTCCAATATCAATTCCGACTGCGGCGACACCGATTCCGCGGCAGCGTTTCGGGAAATTTCGGACCAAGTGCTGAGGAAATGCCAGAAGGACGACCCATCGGCAGCGGCGTGAGAAAACGTGAAACCCATGAAAAACCCATCTGCTAGCTGGGTGAATTGAACCACCAGCAGCGGTTTGGAGACTCCCTCGCAGCCGTACGCTCCGTTCATGGAGAACAGGGAGTGAAGAACGCCGGGGGAAGTGGGGTCGTCCGAATGGAGAATGTCGGCGGCAGAGAGTCCATTAGCGACGGCGTGAACGACGAGGGCTCCGGCGCCGTTGCAGTTGAGAGAGAAGGAGGCGGTTCCGTCGTCGTCGTACTGGACGGCGGCGAGGCGGCCGGCGAAGGGTGGGAAGATGGAGAGGGCTCGGGAGAGAGTGGTTTTCAGGCGTGGGATTGTGGATGGTGAATTGGGTTTTTGTGGAGATGGGTTGCGGAATAAGAGGCCTCTTTGGGCGTATTGGAGAGGGAGGAATTGGATGTCGAATGGAGTGAATTGGATTTCGATGTCGTGGTGGTTAGTGGTGTTTGGCGGTGATGCTGCTGGTTCGACTATGGAGGTTGAGATTATCTGGATTGTTTTCTCTGGTGGTGGATGAATTTCGGGTGGTAGAGGATAGTCATTCATCGTTGATTCTAGTCCGGTGATGGTTTCAGATTTTTCCCGGGAAACTCAGGAGGTGAAGGGTTTTTAAGAATGTGTAATGCTCTTTTTATGCTGATTGTTCTCATTTTACTTTTTTTTCTTCATAATTTCCTGGAATTTCCAGATCGGTTTGCATTCGGGGTCGTTTGGATGAGGAATTGTAACGGATCAATTTGACACAATTGTTTTGTTTTGAGACAATTGTACCAAATTGCCTCGTTTGCCAGCAAAAAATTTGGATGGATCAATCTGTCTGAGGTATTTTGAATTGATCCGTTTTGAGTCAATTTCAATTACCTGGGGTGGGGGCAGGTAATTCGAATTGACTCGTTTTAATTGCCTCATTTATAAAACGAGACAATTGATCAAATTGACTCATTTCTAGATTGATCCATCCAAACGACCCCTGAGTTTTTTTCGGTCGAATCGGTTTGCATTGAGTTGGGAAAATAAGAGAATAACTCAACTGAATTATTTGATATAAAATGATTTGTTAGGGCAATGAAAAGTAAAAATGAGTAACTTGCAAATGATTAATCTCCCAAATATCTCGTTTTTTCGTCACTAATTCTAATCTTAATCCTCTCTTGTTTCTTGTACCCAATATTAACCCTTTTTTTATTGTCTTCATAAACACAATATTGTCATACTATATTCAAACAATACTTTTCATTAATAATTTCCAATTATTTCTAGAGTAATAATCGTTACTAATTTGAAGACCATTTTCGAATATAGGTTATGTTTGATTGTAAAATTATTATACACTTTATAATCGTCACAATTTGTGACGAAAGTTAATATAAAATTATCATTCAAAAATAAAAAGGTAGTAGTCTTATATAAGGTTGATACCCAAATAATTGTTACATGTTTTTTGTAAAATGAATTTTAATTTCGTGGTTAGGTTTATTAGGATAACAAACAAGAAAATAAAATATATTACTTGTAAGGACAAAATGATAATATTATACAAATGACTCATTGAAAATAACTCATATAAAAACTTTTTTAACAAACAAAATATTTAAAAATATCTACATTACCAAATATCTTGATTTACCAAATGTCTACATTTGGAAATCCCCAGTTTCTTCTCATTATATCATTACTTTTAAATTTTCACTCCTTTTAAATTTTTCTTCCCTCTTTCGTGAACAAAGCGTAAAAGCTAGGATTAGACCCTTCATTTTTTTTTTTAATGAATAAAAATTCAACCACAATTCATAAAAAAAAATATACTCACCATCCAAGTTCCAACGCCATCATTCTTATAGGCCATATAACAAAAGGTGTATGAAGCAGTTAAATCACAATTAAATTACGGTTTCAATATAAAATATCATATCGTTAACATTACCGGTACAATCTCCGATACAATTTTAGAATAGTTAACAAAAACTAATGGGTCCGAAGTCGATCCGCCATGGAGATGCAACTGGTAGGTGGCACGTTTTATAAATCGATGGTCCTCCAGCTTCTTCTCACCTATAGTTTTGCCCAGGCCCATCACTTTTTAATGTCCCATACCAAGTCCCAAATCCAATGACTGACGTTTAATTTTACTTTTTTACAATGTTTTTATCATTAGGTTAGGTAATATTTAAAATATTTGAATATGTGATCTTTAGATTGAAAATCAGTGATTATACCATTCAACCAAGCCCCGAGTAGTAATCTCATTAATTATTGGAAATGTGTGCTTTTTTTTTTTGCAGAAAATATGTGTAATTTTTTAATCAAACTTAACGAGATTTTTTATATTTTTTTTCATTTAACTTGGGATTCAAATTTTTCATAAAAAATCATATTGATTGCATGGTGGCTACTTCGGCGCACTCACTTTTTTGGGTGCACTCAGTGCACCCAACTCTAAAAGTGTCCATAGTACATCAAATTTTGAATTTTAATTAGTACTCTCAATCTAATATGATGATATGAGATAGAATCATAACAAATCAATCTATTACCCTAACCTCTTAACCTTCAATTTTGAATCCCAACCCAAAATTCCAAATTGTAAACCTAAACCCTAACCCTAAATCCCCAAATCATAAATCTTTCAAATTAAAGTAAATTTTGAATGATTTTTTTTCAAATTCATGTGCTTCTTGTTTATAATATCATAAGCAACAATTGATACCGTTTTGACAAGGATCGCATGCTTAGAATGACAATTATGAGGCGGGTGCACTGAGTGCACCCAAAAAAGTGGGTGCACTGAATACGTCACCTTGATTGCATTTTTGATGAATAAGTTTTTATTCACCAAGAAATGATGGAAGATCCGCCCTTATGGCCACCAAATTTATAGCAGAGTTTGACTCTTACAAGTTACAAGTTACAACTACAAGCCCGACCTTGCAGAATCAATTTAAATATTTCAGGGGAGCTTAAATTTTGTACAATCAAACATAATCACAAAAACCTACAACAACCTCAACCTGAGAGGATACCCAGACCCAAGTAATTTTACTAACTCATGCAACTTCTCAATAATCTGGGATTGTAAGAGGGAAGTGCCATCATAGAGGCACGAACATCTTTCCCTCCAAAGCTCACTCACTACAAGGTCGTCGTCTCTGAGCTCGAGATGCTAGGAGGAGGAGGACGGGGAGATTGCTCAGCGATCTCAAATCCCTTTACCAGAGCAAGCAGGGAGCGAGATGCTAGGAGGGAGGAAGCGAACCGCGACAGCCGCTGCATCCTCTCGTCCAGAGTATGGGGAGACGATGAGGTGGCGGTTTTTTTTTTTTTTTTTTGGTGAGGGTGGCGGATGTGGGTTGGGGTGTGGAAGGGATTGCTTGGTTAGGAATCGGATTAGAATTGAAATTGGGTTGAAGGATAAATCTGTCAATTTGTTGCGTTTTAGGGCGAGAAAATGTGTACATCCCTAACAATGGTCGCTCGCTCTAGCACCACAGTTTCATGCGATCATACACCTTAGCTAGACTAGACCAATAGTCACTTAGCTTCAGAACAAAATGGTTGAAAGCTTGATAGTATCAAACAATTGAACTTCAAAATTCTTCATTCATGGAATGCAACTAGTAAGGTGTTTATATGGTACAACAAAAAGGTGGTTCTTATTATTATGTCTGCTACCCTGCTCCTAAAATCTTAATCCCACACTGTCCAAAGTTTGGTTTCCCAACCAAACCAGCCCTTACAGTGCTGCCTCTTTTTATACTTCTCAAAAGAAAGAGCTCCCAATCACCTTCAGGAAGAACTACACTGCTCTTTATGCTGTTATGTTTACAAGTTAGGGATAATAATAATTACATTCTCAATTATGAACCCTAATTTCCTCTGCTTTCTTTTCTTCATTTTGATACAAAATACAAATAATCTGGTGCTGAATAAATTACATGCCTGCCTGCCTGCCTGCCTGCCGACTTAGTAGGGTGATCAATCTTGTTTCAGTGTTTCTTCACATGCTCATAGCTCTAGTTGAAACCTCTGACTCCACGTCCTGCAACTCTGCATCTACTGCTTCCCTACTTTCCTGCAAAATAAAATGTATCCTCCACTTGTTCAGTATCGGTATCAACATGTCGGTGAGCTGTGTATGGAGGCTTATTACTAACCACTGGATCTTTCAACTTGTATTCTGCAAGCCACCGCTCCAATGCGCCATCCCCACGAAGTATCTTTCCTCCACAACCAATTGCGGCGTCTGATCCCACAGACTCCTCATCAACCACAACTGCAACCACCTTATTACTTCCTGGTTCGTCGTCCGGAATCTGGAAATACATGCACCGCCGTGGCTTAATGCATAAATAAATGTGGTACATGTATGTAAATAGTCCACAAGATGTGCTTCCCCAGACAAAAAGGGAGCCTCTGGGCCTTGCATACCTCATACATGGACTCAATAAGAATACTTTCCAATATGGCTCTCAAACCCCTAGCCCCAGTGTTCTTAGCCATTGCTTTTCTGGCGATTAGTCCGAGTGCTTTTTCTGTGAAGTGCAGCTTGACCTGACATTTCATGTAGCAACTCATCAGCAGCAGTAGTGAAACTGGCTGGATGTGAGAGAGAAAGAGACTGAGAGAAAGTATTACTTTGTTCATGCCAAACAGCTTCTTATACTGCTTTCCGAGCGCATTTCTTGGTTCTGTGAGCACCTGTCAACAAATTGACAACCACGTCAATTATAAAGATTTCAAGTCCTTATGTACCTTTCTAAGCAGACACAGAAACGCAAACAGACAACCAGAAGATGCCAACTCTGAAAATACATTTAAACTGCAGACAAGACACTGTCAGCCACCATACAGCTACAAGTTACATGGACAAGTCCAGAAAGAAGCAGACAGTTCAAATTAACTAATTTGATATCCTGCACAGCGTTTTATACAGATGAGACATAACTAATATAGATCTTATGGAAATAGGAAGGCCAACATAACATAAAGTAAATTACCCGCACAAGCTGTTCTTCTGTTAGAGCTATCAAACTAACTAGTATAGGAAAACGTCCAATGAATTCTGGTATTAGACCATAGGCAATAAGATCGCCACTCTCAACCTGTAAAAAACCAAACACAGCTCTTAATTTACATTTGATGTCGTCCCACTTGCTATTTGACATATAACTATTGGGATACTCCATATATTGTCGTCTCACTGACTTAGGAAGGTCTCCAGTCTTACAGATTCAAGCAAGGACGAAGTAACAGCAGCATTTGTTACACCACCACCAGTTCTCATATTAGCTCGGACAGGGGCCCCAAATCCAATTGATGAATCTTGCCGTCTGGAGTGAAACGACAAAGGAACAAGAATTTTATCCTCATGAAAGATGCATATAATTCATCTCACATTACATAAGAGATAAACCTAGGCCATCGGAGAAGTCCAGAATCGTCCAAAAAGCAGTTTGCACATAACATCGAAATGAATTGACTCTCATAAAGCAATACCTCTCTGAAACAGTCTTTTCCAGATCAATGAATGCTCCACCACAAATAAAAAGAATATTTTTGGTATCTATCTGCAGAACAGAGAAAGCAATTTTAGAACCAACACAAAGGTAAATCATAGTTGTCCGTGAAAATGAAAGCAAGGATGAAAAACATCAATAAGCATGCATAAGAATGGGCATCAGCAATTACATACTTCACCAACCTAAAGAATCTGAGAAATCAAATTATTTCAACAAGCTAAAGTCATTCCATCTAATGACCAGATATTTGTTCTCATTTGCATTGATGTGGTACTTTGTGACTTGATTCTCAAGGTCCAATACAGGTAGTACTTTTGGCAGTTTGCCTTAAAAAAATGCATGAAGCAGCCACATGCCGCTCAGCCCACTTTATATTTGTCCTATAAGGAACCCAAGAGATGCATTATCTAAGCACTTCCATATCTTTGGGGAAGCTTCGGAAAAGGAACACATAGAAGTCCAACAAACATGGGCACTGTAGGCAAAGGTCTAAGATTTCAGATTCTGAGTCAAACTACATTAAATCCGCCAAATATGAAAGACATAATTGAAACACAACCTAAGGGAGAAAAACACGCATTCCTACATTAGTCACCATGCAGTTCTATTAAACCAATAGTAGGTAGACAAATACACCAAAACAGTTGGTTTGGCATCACAATAGTAATGACACTGCTACATTACTTAAACAAGTATTCTGCAGTGTAACTGCATATATCTTATGGGTAGATGTTGATACAGTCCATCTGTAGCTTCCAAATGTTCAGTCGGAGAAATAATACTGTTTTCTGGGAAGTTATACATAAACCCATGGTACCTGTATGTTATCTCCTCTGGGATGCTTCCGTGCTCCCTTCTCAGGAACATTAACTATCTGCAGAATAAGAACACCAGTCATTCTACCACAGTTCAAAAGACAAGGGAACCATGCTAAATGTTATAGCTTGATTTACTCACTGTTCCTTCTAGCATTTTCAACAAAGCCTGTTGAACACCTTCACCAGACACATCTCTGCTGATGTTTAAGCTCTCAGCCTACAAATTTACAACTACATTAGTAAGATCTTCATAAGAAAGAATCCAAGATCACATCCCAATTGGCAGAACAGGGTGTTCACAAGAAACCTTCTTAGTTATCTTATCAACTTCGTCAATGTAGACAATCCCTTGTTGAGCTGCTTGCACATTGAACTCAGCTGCCTAGATTCAGGGAAAGGAAAAAGTTGAATGTAGCAAAGAAAGGAAAGGATAATCAGAAAGCAGGTATTGGCAGAATAATGTTTGCTTTGCATAACAATCCTATTAAACCCCATTCTAGCTCTTGTTAATATAGAAAATTTTCGGATAAAGGAATGGGCAGGTTACCCAACACTATTGGAGATAACAAAACAAATTGTAGTAATTACTTCATATCTAGAATTCATTAATTCTTCGTTCCATGGTCCTAAATTTTAGTGGTTACAGAAACAGCAGCTCATACATGCCTGAGCCTGGCTTGCACAATCTCATGACTCTGAGCACATAATTTACCTAACCAGCCAAATTCTGTACAATCTATGGTTCTGGTGTGCAGACTCAACTTATTATGTGCAAAGCTGGATCTTTGGATGATCTGTACAGCCTAACATCAACTATTCACTAGCTGCAGGCATGTTAAACATCACTCGCTAATCAAATAGCGAATGTGATTGAATTATTTCAGAGATACCCAACATAGACTGAGCACTGACAAGAATTTACTCAAAGAGTGATACTATAGGCTCTTGGAAGTTGCAATATCTTGAAAAGTATGGAGGAAAAACATACCGCTAAAAGTTTATATAATATAGACTCGACATCTTCTCCGACATAACCAGCCTGCGGAGAGGGAAATATTGCAATAGTCAATAATCAGTAGTGTTTCAATGCCATAACAGAAAACTTGGCTATTTTATGCACTCCCAATAGACGACTTGCCTTCAACTATGAGTACTCATGCAATTCATAGCACGCTTTCTAATGAAAAAGGGGGGAAAGCTCTGCGTTATACAGAAAAAACTTGCCTGAGTCAGTGTTGTAGCATCTGCAATGACAAATGGCACATTCACAAATCGTGCAAGTGTCTTTGCAAGCAATGTCTTTCCTGTTTCACAAAAGAGTAAGAACAAAAATCAGAGTTTAATAGGTAGGGAACCCGGAGGTCATATGAAGACCTGAAATCTTTTTTCCACCAAGAGCACATCACAATTGAAAGGACCCAAATGCAGTGCATAACTCAAACCTGAGCCAGTCGGACCCATCAAGAGAACATTGCTCTTTTCTAACTCTACATTATCGTCATCATCAATTGCATCAGGACTCAAAGATTCTGCTCCTGACCTAGTATTGGAAATTATCATCTCAGTTCATATCATGGACCAAAGATGGAAAGGAACAGATGATTGAAAACTTGCTGTAATAGGTCAGCCGATTCAGGACTGCTGCAATGGAACCGACCCTTTTTGTGAGGCATGGTAAATCCTCTTGTAGTGATTGTACACAGCAACGGAGAGCACCTGCCAATAAAACCATGGAAACAGGTTTTCATTGGAGAGTTATGAGGGGGATCCCTGCACTGCACATTGACAGCTTCAGAAGGCAAAGTACAAACCTTTTTGGCCCTGTCTTGTCCAATAACAAACTTGTCAAGACCCTTGCAGATCTCTTTCGGAGTAGGTAAATCATTCCCAAGATTAGCCCCACCCCATCTACCACTCTTTTCTCCTTCAACTCCATCACCACTTGAACCTCCACCACCCGGACCAGCTGCCCTGACGACATTAACACCAGGTGCAAATGGTGGACCAGGGGGAGTATGCACAGCCAGCCCATTGGCCGGAGGCGACGAGGGATGCAAAGGAGGCGGTGGCGGCCAGTTTTCAGGTGGGTCAGCCGCATACGACCGAAGAGTCTGCCAGAATGACGCCCTCAACCTCTTATTGATGCTGCTATTGGAAGCAGTAACCGAATCCCCGGAAGACGAAGAGTCCTGCCCCTCGCCGTTATTATTGGAATGTTTGGCGGAATTGTATTTATTCCTCAACTTACCATTACTGATCCTCCCAATCTCAACAAAGCTCCCCTGTAGCGGAGCATTGCTGTGAGGGCGGAAGTAGAAAGCAGTTTTGCAATTGGGGCAGTAATTGACAGCCTGATACACATCTCCGCCGCCGCCGCGGCCGCTGCTGCTCTGATTATTATTATCAGAAGAAGAAGGATCGGAAGGAGGGGAGAGATTGGGATTATGATGCTGATGATTAAGACCGCGACCGTGATTATTCGAGAAGAGAAGATCCATGTGCTTGGAACAACGAGGACAATTAGCCTCGGCCCTAATCTGCCTGATACTGTTATCGCCACCATCAACCGAATTATTATTACCACCACCCTCGCCGCCGTCCCATTTATACCGCTCCTGGACCCCGGGGAGCGACTCCCGGCGGCGGTACCTGTTGAGGAAGTTCAAATGCGTGGTGATTGGGGAGAATCGGAAGTACCGGGACGCCGGAGAAGAAGTGGAAAGAAGGCGGAAGGCGGCGATCGGAGAGCGGGATGAGCGCGGGGAAGGGGAGAGGAGGAAGAGAGTTGTGCCGGTGTCCTTGAGCTTCTTCCATCTCGACATTCCAGGCATAGAGGGAAGTCGTTATTTGGTGGTTTTATTGGGAGGAGGAGAAGAAACAGAGCAAGAGAAAATGGCGAATTGGGATCTGGAGAGGAACTGGTTCCTGGAGCTGGGGGAGGATTAGGGAGGAGGAAGAAGAAGAAAGGGAAGGGATAGTTTGTAATTGTAGATAAAGTGGGGGAGCGTTTTTAGGGGGAAATTTACGGAAACGACGGAACAAGAGGAGTGGAGAGACTTTCGACTTTTGTGACGAATAATAACCCAACATTAACTTATTATTTATTATTTGGTTCCTTTTTGTGTTCCTTAATCCTCAAAGCTTGTCTAAAGAAACATGGGATGAGAGATGAGACTTGAGAGGGAAGGGAGGGAAGGAGGGGAAGTAACTAACCTCTAGATAGCATGGTTGTTATGTCGGTGGTATGTTGGTTGGTTGAAATAGGTTTAACTGGTGTCGATCATGAAATCAACGTGAATATCATTGATGTGATCGATTTACGATTTTTAATCAAAATGATGTCGTTTTAGTGGGGGGAAAACTTCTCTCTCCCTTCTTTTCTCTCTTCTCCCTCCTCTTGAGCGAGCGCTTCTGATCGTCACGATGACGGCTTCGTCGTCAGAATCTGCTCTGGTTGGTGAGATCGTTACTTGGGCACAACTTTATGATATTGCTCTGACTAATAGGATGAATTATCGGCCTTCGAAGCATATTCACGATGGGGTTCCGCCTCCCTCGAGAGGTCAAGAAGAAGACCGAGGGACGGTGGGAGGATTGCTTAATTGGCCAGTTCGTCGGTCATACTCCCTAAGGTGCAATTTGTTCAGCAATGGGCGAACAATATTCGGGGGGCGGGGCGAGCTGATTAGGGTTTCCAGATTCGGGCCTCGTCTTCTTGTGTTTCAATATCCTTCAGCGGCAATCAGCAGATGGGTTTTCACTTTTGGTCCCTGGCACTTTCAAGGGAATCAGATCTTTCCCTCGAAAGTGGGCTCCGAGAATCGAGCCGGTGGCTCGAGTCGTTGAAACTCTGCTGATCTGGGTCTGCATCTGAGGGCTACCATTGGAATATCATTTCTTTTGAAGGAATACCATTGGAAACCTCAAATCAGTATTCACGGTTGGCCATTGAACAACAATAACAAGTATGCAGGGGCGCCAGAAGTGAAGAAGTGCTACAAATAAGAATTTCGAGACTATAAAGCTACTACAAGTACCAATAGTCTAAGCTTCTCAGCATATGCTTTGTCACACTACCGACGTTGCTCCCCACACCATTTGAAATGCGCATCCTCCAGATCAAAGTTCACTGACCTGATTCAACGATAAATATAGCAGTGGTAAGATATTCCGCAGAGAAAAGCCAGGGCCTAGGAATGAAAATTATGACCAAGAAAATAAACATCTAGGCTCTAGCTACGCTATGATAAACACTACTTATCAGTTAATCACAATACAAAGCAACCATCACAACGTTGGTAAAGAACACATAACGAATATGCGATTGCAGACTGCAAGAGTTCCACATAACCGAAACTCCAGACCTCCATTACTTCAACAAGGGGGTGGGGAGCCATTCATTCGGAGGCTCCCCATACCGAAAACTTGAGATCAATATGCAGCGGTGACACAATAAGTACTACAAACCAGAATGCAAGATTAATATAGCTATTACAAGTATAATACCCCACCTTCTCAGCATGATTCGTCACAAAACATCATGGCATGAAACAGAAATTATTGAACTGAGGATTTGCAGAGATAAATGGAGCAACATAATGTAAGAACAAATTCTGCTCATATCCAGACACAGTAAACATAAGATAACACCAAGTTCATATGTCACCTTGCTATGGGTTCCACTTCAGGGTCTCTATAAGAAACTGCACAGACTTCTGGTTCCAGTAAAACTATGCTCTCTGTATAATCCGCAGCATAGAATACATCTAGGTATCCAGCGCCTGGTATCCCAAGAAGCTCAACTTGTCGGGTCTTGTGATCATATAAACACAAAACAACTTCTTGTCCCGACCTCGGACTACCAACCAAATCCTCCTCCCTTCCCTTCTGCAACAAAACCTCCTTATCCTGCCACAACCCAATAACAAGTTCTCGAGTTGGATCAACTATGCTTACACTGCAGAATCTCGCCCAACTATTGTCCGCACCACTGCACCCTTGCTTTACCAATATCTCGCAAGAAGTGGCAGTATAATACAGGACTGTAAGCAAACCTGTGACCTTGGTCTCTGAAATGGAAATGAGTCTTGATTCACCTGCTCCTGGCAGTTCCTTGAGCAACTCAATTCTACTGAAACTCTCATCATTCACATCGAAAGCCAAAAGAAAGTTGTTTCTCAATCCCACTTTAGCTGGCCAATATATAATCCCATCTACAAAACACTGAGACCAAAGGATATCACCATCACAAGACTGCAACACTGCGCTAGCATTGGGAACTTCCCTCCATTGACGCTCTTTCAGAGCGTAAACTTCTGCTCGCCGTGGTGCCCCAGCAGTTCGAGGGTAGGCGATTCTGACCACTTTATAGTCATTTCTGTTTGAATCGTATCCGAATCCCAGCACAGCAGGGGCGGAATTGGGACCGGCAAGCTCGCCCATTTCTCTGAAATTGAGCGTCGGACTTGGGACGTCGATGAACCGCCTAAGCGACGGATTCCAAATGTAGATGGTGTAAGCATACATATGAAAGTTGTCGCAGAGGCAGATTAACCCGTGTAGCGACCCGAAAACATGAATGCAACCGGGGACGCCAGATCGAGGCTTGAACGGGGACGAGATGTCGACGGAAGAAGCAGCGAAACGCTCCGGATCCGAATGGAGAGTGAAATGTTCGGAAGAAGCAGCGGTGAGTCGGCGTAGGAGGAGGGAAGGGCGGCGGTCGGGATTGGAATTGGAGGAGAGGGTGAAGGAAGAGCGGTGATGGGATACGAATTCAGAGCTTCGGATCAGCGAATTCCATACCTTGGATACGGCGGTGCATCTGAGGATGGAAATCACGGGAAGACTGACCAGGATTTGAAGCAAGATTTCTCTGGGCAAGTCGCCGAACCCGGCGGCCGGATTACTATTAGAAGGTTTCTTCATCCTCCGGCGTCGGATCAATTCCCCCAAAGCTACTGGAAGACTGAAACCCTAGCAGCCATCAATAACATTTGATCGAAGACAGAGAGAGTATGAGCGACCGATTAATTACCCTTCCTCAATCATATTTGTATCAACTGAAAACTCCTATATACAGCCAGCTATCAGCTGCAACCACCCACCAACTAAGTCATTTACACTCTCCCATTCCCTTTTTCTCATGAGACCCATGAGCACTCCATTCGCAGTTATGGCTGGATAGGAAAAGATATTGTTTTCTAATTTCTAGGGTTCTCTCAGAAACCCAACAAAGTAACTCGAGTTGTTGGGAGAAACGAAAGCCAACCCAAGGGCTTGAAGTTTGCACAGGCCCACCATATCATGTGCTTGAAAGACAACGGTTAATATTGGGGGTCGTGGAGATTCGAACACATGACCTTTCGGTTCTAGGCTCTGATACCATGTCAAGAACCAGTTGATCTCAATAACTCGAGTTGTTGGGAGAAGGTTCTGCTGGATCTTATACCACAGTCTTACACATATCTCGTCCACCAACCTCTTCTCGTGTCCCATCAGTTCCTCTCTCGATCAGTAGGTAAGAACCACAAATCCCCAGCTCTAGTCAAGCTCCAAAGCTGCAGATATAGTTAACTAAGAAGTAAGAACGAAGGTTGTTTCTACGGCGTAGCTCCGACGGTGAAGGTTCGGAGCGATTAAAGGACGATCTAAGAAAGAAAAGGAGACTATGGTTGTCATGTCGGTGGCATGCCATCCATTGAATCTGGTTCAACGGGTGTTAGTTATGAAATCGGCATGAATACATAGATCGATTTACAAATTGTAAGTAAAATGACATTGTTTTAGTAAATTTAATTAATAAACATGAGTTTACTACATATATTTTTTGTATTATAAAAGTTAATATAATTTGTTGGATTCAGTTATAAATTTTTAAGTATTGAAGTTAAATGTTATATTTAAATATGAGTTTTTGTTATTTTATTTGGAATGATGTATTCTATTAAATCGGCATGAACCGACACCAACCGGTTGTACCACTATTCTTTGGATCGGCAGATAAGTGCTTTATCGTTGTTTAGATTGAAGCTCTTGGAGTCATTCCAAAACATGTGTAATGATCTCCCCTTCCTCCCTTTTCTTGCTGTTCCACAGGTGGTGGTTGCCCTCGTTCCAGATGTACCAGAGAACCACGAACAGAGATTCAATTGCCTCCACTTTCTCACTTTCTAGTCGGGTTATGGTTTGTAATTTGTATTGGGTTGGCAGGTTGACATGACGGGTTGTGATGATGTGGCGGGTTGGGTTTAGTATTTTCTGGGTTATACTAGCCTGACTAGGCAATTTCATTTGCCACATCAGTACTTAACGGACTTCATTAACGAAGTTGGACGAAAACTAACATAGAGTGACCAAACGTTGAGCTTTTTACTAATTCGATTGACCAATATTAAAATTAAATATTTCTAGTGAAACTTGACATTTTTTAGTGACCACAGTGACCAAATTTGCAATTTACCCACAATAAACAATACTAAATCGACCAACAGGTTGAGAAAAAGCTTATATAAATATATTATTGGTCGAACTTAAACCTAAAATTTCGATCGCTATGGATCCCCTCAATAACCTAAATACGCATAACCATCCACAAGATCATCTCCAGTAGGGGGGGGGGGGAGTGCTAAAATCAACCTCCAACAAGGGCAGACAATGCTAGAAGTTGATTTATTTGAGGCTAAATTTGGTCCAAATAAAACAAAAGGAACTAGACGGTAATCCCACACAAAACCGCACATGCGACGCCCTAGAAAGGGGAGAGGCTGCCACACGCAGGGCAAAACCAATCATGGCTCGCGTGCTCGCTCTTGTTCCAATCCTTTCTCAAACTCAACTCCCCCACCTGCTATCACTCCTTAAACTAAACTTAAACCTAAGATCACTTATAATGTAAGTTCATAAAATGAGAAGAATGGAAAATGTGGGTGGGAATACCCACCACCAAGGGAAATTGTGAGACAAATTGTGAGGGGAAGAGAATGGGAGGGGCCCATTACCTGGTCCGCACATAATTTATTTTTTACT